TATACTTTCTGAAAATTGTTATTATGTTTGGTATAGGATTAATGTAGAACTATGTAATAATTGTAATTTATGCAAACTAATGATGGAAACAATGATGGAAGATTAAACAGTTAGATTGGAAGAAGAAGAAGAATAATATAGAAGTGAAGGAAAAGAAAGAAAGTAAGAAGTGTACTATTTATTGTTATCTTTTATGTTATCTAAATTTAGTAACATTTCTAAAAAATGATAATTTATTCGTATTGTAGTATTATTCGCATATTTATGCAGAAAGAGGGTTTTGGGTTAGTGTATCAAAGGAGAAGGTTACGTGGTGTAGGTTTGGAAGAGACCATTCAAGCAAGTAAGTTATATAAAGTTAATTACTGATTTTTAATATATTTATTATGTCTTTTCAATAGTTTAAGTAATTCAATGCATTACGAATACTTGCATAGTAACCATGAGAATTTGCATATAACCAAGAGATTGCATTGAGGTATTCATGTATAAACAAATTTATTTAGGTGGAAAAGTGAAATTGATATTTGATCAAGTATGTTATTTCAATCTTTTTGATAATATGTTAAAGAAAGAAGTTTGCATTTGTTAGATAATGCATGTCAAACTCTTCTTGCAACACTTGTACATTTATATAAGTGGTAACATATATAATTATGAATATGAGAGTTATTAAATATTTATTTAATAAAGATTGGTTATTTTATATTATGATTTCTACATTATCAAGTGGGCAAAAAGGACCCAACATGAAACCTGAATTGTAGATGGGGCAAAAGGGACCCCAAGGAAATGGATATTTGTATAGCAGGTGGGGCAAAAGGGATCCCTAAAGAGGCAAAAGGGATCTCTATGAAATTCAATGGTGATAATGCCAGGTTTACTTGGGCTCTATTGAATATGTTAAAATATTGTCAAATCTTTTAAAACATTAAATATTCAGTATCTATCTCAAATGACACAAAAGATGATGTTCAATATAATGTTTTTGATGCTTTACAATTATAAGTTGATTTAATGATTAGCTCAATATTGTATTTCATTTTATCATTTCATTTTTATTGTTATTTAATTTTGCATAGCTTATTTGAGCCTCATAGCTCATGAGTATTTTCTTATTGGCTGTCTTTATAGGAAAGGACAAGGAACAAGTGAAAGAAGATTAAGTTTCAAGTATTTAAAATTCTATGTTAATGTTTATCTTAGTTATGAATTATACTCTTGAGGTTAGTAAGCAATTCAATGTTGTATTACTTTGGACTTATTTTGATTTCCTTAGTGGCTCTATAAATGTCTTGTTAAAGTATAAAATCATTGTGCTTCCGTTGATGTGATGAATATAAAATGTTAGATCTCATATGAAAGTCTTTCAAATGTTTAAAAGTGTCAATTGATGGATTGATGAAAATATTATGTTTTTGTTTGTAATATTCTCGATACTGTTAAGGGGTACTGTGGGGTGTTACACGAAATGAGCATATACATGAAAAGGTTGGAGTAGCTCCAGTGGAAGATAAGATTAGAGAGAGTCGCCTTAGATGGTTTGGTCACATAAAACGACGGCTTTCCAATGACCTGATTAGGAAAGTAGAGGTTTAGATTTAACTTATATTAAGAAAGGTAGAGGTTGACCTAAAAAGATATTGTTAGACAATTTTAGAAATGATATTTCTTTATTAGATTTAAAGTAGAATTTGACTTTTAATTGGACACAATGGAGAAAAAAGATTCATGTAGCCGACCCCACATAGTTGGACAAAGGCTTGATATTTTTGTTGTAGTAGTCTTTATACTTTTTACATTTGTGGTGCAAATGAACTATGCCAATTTATTTTGCATGACAGCTTGGGCAATTTTTGTCCTTTCTTGTAATTATTTTTTTGTAAATTCATATATGGGTATAATATTCTCTATAGTTTCTACATATTCAACTACAGCGATCTCTGTGAGCACATACCTGAATCAAAATTTCGATATTGTTTGTTGAAAACACTGGACAGCTTGTTCAATTTGATGTGTTCATATTACACAATCATGAGTTTTAATCCAAAAAGACAGGTAAATAGGTAATTTGATTTCATTTAATCTGTTGTTTTCTTCAAATACTTGGTTTCTTCAAAAACTTTTTAACTTCTCTTTTCTAAACTCTTGTTTTTTTCCCTGCCTGCAAATCTCTTACAACCTTGTATATTCTCTATAAATATTGGTATAGAAAAGAAATAATAGTTCGAGCTTGCAATTTCAAACTTGAATTCTTACATAACCCTTTTTTGCCGTGCCTAAATGGTTTGATAAAGGTCAGTTTCGGTTTGTAATTCATTTTATGAATTTGGATGTTCATATGTTTTCAACAAAAGAGTTTATATGTTGAATTGTGCGTTGAAGTGTAGGTTATACACCTATCATTACTACATGGTTATACTAGGTTAAGGATTTAAAGAATATTTGTTTAAAGTTCGAAATATTTCTATTTATCTTTTTCATTTTTCTGGTCTTTGCTGTTCCAAATATTATGAGCAACACTGTGTTGGCATCTTCATCTTGCATGTTGGTGGATGCTACTTGGATGATGATGTAAACCTAAAAAATGTCGTTTTAGACCGCACACGCTTTTCAATGCATCGCGATGAGTTCTAAGTGAAAATTTCGAAGTTGTCGGATTTTGACAGAATTAATTTTATAAAATTTTACGTAAAATTCTGATCAATTTGATGTATAGAACCTATATTTAATTATGTATATTTTAGGAATTATAAAATTTAGAAGTTTCTAAATGCCAATTGTACCCCTAAGTGTTTCTTAAGCCAAATCTATTTATGTAAGGGCATATGAGTCTTTTGGCATTTTCCCTTTCTCTGTATTAAGCAATCTCATTTCACACACGATTTGGTTGAACGAAAGAGGTGCGTGGAAGGGAACCCTCGGGTAGCTTCGACGACAACTTTTGGGGGCGGTTTCCGACGGCCAAAGTTGGAGAATCTTAAGAGAAGATTAAGGGGGAGTCAAGGTATGATTAGAATTAAGAATCTCTCTCTTTTTCCTTAGATTTTTGAAAGAGAAATTTTAGGGTTTTCTCCAAAAATTGTTTTCTTTCAAAATACCTTCACCAAGATGTTTCCTAATGATTTTTGGAAAAAAAAATTATGGAATTTCATTTAAGTTTTATAAGAAAAATTTGTGAATTTAAAATTAGGGTTTTTCCCAAACGTTGATTTTTATGAAATCTCTTAACAAAAATTATTTCTAAGGATTGTAGTAGTATTCTAATGATGAAATTTTGAGATTTCTCTCAAAATGCTATTTTTATAATTTTAATTTAATTTAAATCCGAAAATATGAATTATTTTAAATAATTTTAGGTTAGGGTAAAGAGTTAATTTGATTAAATTATTTAATTTGAAAAAAAAAAGAGATTTTAGAATTGTTATATGCTTTATGTTTTAAATTAGAGAGAAAAAGAGGGAGAAGAGAACCTTTAGAAATGTTGAGGGTAGATTAGAACATAATAAAAAGAATATGAATTAATGCTATTATTTTAGGATTGAGAACTCTAAGTTGAAGGTTTAAAATCTTATTAATGTTATTTAAACAGTGGAAGTTGAGACGAGTATTGGGATCTTCAACAAAGTTTGAGATTTTAAAAAGATGTTAAAGTTTGAAAACATTCAGGTAAGTATACATGGTTCTTTATTTCAGTAATACTTTTGTTTCTCTCAAGTTAGCAAGTGCGGAAAATTAAAGTGCGAAAGCAGTAAAAAGAACACAAGGGTTTATAGTTGTTCGGTCAACTTGACCTATGTCCAGTCCTCGGAGGCGCCTTCCGAGTATTGCACTACCAACGTGACTCTTCTTTAGCCCCCACAGCTAGGCGGAGAAGCCCTTACAAAACACCTCCTTTTTGCCACCCCCGACAAGGCAGAGAACCTCACTCCTTTTGCTTTCTCCTGAAGCAGACATAGAACCTCGATCGGTCGTTGAAGCTTACCTCTCCCAACCCTTCCAAGGACAAGAGACTCTAGGGAAGAAGAAGTGGAACAATGCTTGGAGCAACCCTTGTGAACTCCCTCACAAGCTTCCCCTCACAAGATCCTCTCTCTTTTTCTCCTTCTCCCTTTCTCTCTCTCTCCTTTAGGTTTTCTAAGGTCAAGACAGCAGCCAAGGATGTTAAAAAAAGTTGAAAAATAGCAATAGAAGAGCTTCAAAGGAGCTCAATAAATGCAAGTTACCGACTTTATCGTCCAGGATGATAATAATATCGTCCTGTACGATCAGTTCAAAACACAGATGATCAGCCGGAACTTCGCTCTGAAAATGAACTGGACGATTGAAAATTTACACGATCGTTCCGGACGATCTCACGATCGTCCCGGACGATCTCACGAAAAAGTAAATGGTAAAAGAGTAAATGGTAAAAGAGTACTTTTATGGTACTAGACGGTGGCTCATGTGACGATTATAATATATACGAAATGAGAAAGCTAACTATATTGATATGAATATGGAAATGAAAATAAATGATATGAATTTTATGATATGATATGTTTAATGGCATGTTATTAAGAAATCAAATTATGTTATATTCCAATGAAATTGGCATTTAGGATATTGTTCAGTTTGCCTTGATTACTTTAGTTTAGAATTGTGTTTTACTTACTGAGCTTCAGCTTAATGTTAGTTGTTAATATTTTTCAGGTAAGTTTAGGTAAATTAAAATGAGTAAAAGGGGTGGCAATGTTTATCGTAGGAGAGGAGCGTCTGAGGAAAAGTAATTTTATGGTTATGCCTTATTTTATATTTATGTGTTTTCAATTTGATGTTTTAGAGACTCTTTCAAATGTTAAGGTGATAGTTTTAGGAATTAGATATTTGACCTACCGTCCGACAATCCGTTCCTGCCTTGCTTACGCGAATTGAACAGTTCATGATAATTTGACTGGCTAAACCATTTTGAGTATTCATCTTTTGTTTCTTTTCTGTCTGAAGCTTGATTCCTTTCGCAGTATATTTTTTATCCAACTTCAAACAATGCATCGAAGAACATTCGTACTTCTCGGAGCTCAAAAGGTGTTGAAAGTGATGTAGATCTAAGTGGTTTAAGTGATGCTTCTTGATTAGTACCAAGAGAGATTGGCTCACCATCAGCTGATTGTGGTACACAATGTTCATCTGTTGATGATACTACAGAAAATCTCGGTTCTACAGTTTCAAGTTCCTTTATGTCATCTTTAGATGCATGTGATAGCAGCACTTCAACATCAAGTTGTAATTCTTCTTTCTATCATTTGAGAAAAAGATGCCACTTCATTTGTTGCACAAACTTTACATAGAAGTTGCAACAAGTCGTGCATCCGTGTTACTCTCATCTCCCGTTGTTTACTCAACTAGTACATTCCAGTTTCTGCAGAACTATGAAGATCTAAATGTTTTCATATTGGCTGGTGAAGCATTCTGTGGATTACAGGCAACTGAGTTCAGGAACAGATTAAAAAGTATTTCTGAAAACTATGTTGCAGCATTTCACAGAAAAATGTTTATGTATGTTAATAATCCTCTAATAATTCAGCAGTTCAGTTTTCTACTCTCGGAGGCAATTTCTTTCATTTATCTTGTTATGCCTGCAAGTTTGCCTATGTTGATTTGATATTTCTTTTTCCATTTTTTATTTTATTTCTGGAATTTATGGCACCTATAAAGTCGATCTCATTTGCAGTGATATTAGAATAACTGATCCTCAATTTTCTTATAAAGTCCTTAATCACCATCATTAGCTTTCTTAAAGTTGGTTGGGGCTTTTATTTCCAATGCATCCTTATTAAGAGCAACAGTTTTGTGTTAGTTTTAAAGAAGTGCTACATTTCAATCATATTTTTGTTCTTAATGATAAAATAGAGACTCTTCCAATGGACATCCTTGAATGTTAAAAAATGTAATTTTGAATAAAACTATATCTTTTAATTTTCTTAATAAATGTTTGAAACATTCTTGTTGCATTACTGCATGCCCATCTCATCTAGTGTGAGACATGATTTTGTTCAACCTTTCTTAGTCATGTGGCTAAATGAATTCAATATTTCATTCATCACTGAAAATTTTGTTACTATCAGGTACTTAAAATGGTATTGGAGAGGGAGAATTGGATGAAGTTATCTCCAGAGACTATGCAACTAATTAGTTTGGCTGGCCTCATTGGTGATGGCGCTCCCTTGATTGTTCCTTCTTCAAGCAATTCTTTAGCTGCCTGTACAATTTAGTCCAAGAAAAGTTCTGATGTGGTTTACAATGGGAAGCAGAATGATGGGTTTTGTTATTGGCTTAGTATTGAAAACCCGTTTTCTTCAAAACTATCAAATGGTTCCAAACAACTATCAAGTTTTCAGGCATTAGTTAATGGGTCTTCGGTATCTCAGTGGATACCAAAATTGTTGTTTCATTATACCTTGATGATTGTAGAATATCAAAGCTTACTCACCCAAAAACCAGATCTGCATGTTGGAACGATGATGAGGTTTCAGCACAAACAGGTTCATCCATTTGTTTATTGAGGTACATTCCGTATTTGCTAAATTTAAGACCTTAATACTATTCAATCATCATAACTACAATCATCAAATCACATTTATCAGATTAATGGACAAATATGCGAGCCTAATGCAGAATTAGAAATTGTTAATGTTGACTTTTTCAAGGTATGCCAGTTTTTCCCACCTGATGATTATACCTCTTTATTGGAGGATTCTTGGATACTTGCTTTCTTGTTCTCATTGAATATCTGATTGCAGGGCATCTGCCAGCTCTTTGGAATATTCTATTATTTTATTTTTGAGGTACTTGGCGAGCGGGACTCTTATCAAAGTGGTAAGTAACCTTCTTAGCGTATTTGTAAAGCCCTAGTACTTTAAGAAATATTCTCCTAAACTAATGCATTCTATATTCACCATCCTTCTAATTGATGCTTCCTTCTTCTTTATTTTCTCTAGCTTGACTCAAGTCTTCCTTGTAAAAAATTATTCAAGATTGTGATCAGTGGATTAGACGCCAAAATCAACCACCTTCATCATCACCAAAATCACTTAATGCATCCATAGCACATATCTTCTATTTTATTTCTTTTCCTAGCCCAAATGGATTGTGGTGTTTTACTGGAGAACTAGTCAAGTTCCTCCTTAGCAAATTTCTCATAAGCTACACTACTTCCTGAAACTATTTCTTCAAATTGTGCCATTTCTATTTTCCTGCTTCTAATAGTTTCATTCTTCAAGAATGCATTTGAAGCTATTCAGAATGACCTACTGTTTATACGCAAGTTTCTTTCTATCAAAAGAAAAACTAATCCAATAATACTAGGATATAGTTTCCATATCAACAGGTAAACTTCAATGCAAGTTTCTATAAAAAATACATCTAAGGTAAAAAAAAATATTAATTCTTATTGAAAAAAAAGAGTTTAAATTCCAAAATGGTCCCTCTAATATTTTTTGAGCATATTACATTTTTCTACAATATAGTCCCAGAGTATTAGATTTAAATGAGAATTTGACTTTTAACCGTACACAATGGCGAAAAAGGATTCATGTAGCCGACCCCACGTAGTGGGACAAAGGCTTGATGTTACTGTTGTTGTATAGTCCCAGAGTATCACATTTTTTTTTTCAATTTAACTTAGCTCTACAAATTTGATCCTAAATGCTTCATTAAGGAATAAATTCGGATCGATTTTGTATATATGAGGGGCTAAATTGAGATCATTTTTTTATAGCCCCAGACTTTGAAGCTTTTCAAAATGATTCTACTAGTTGTATGCAAGTTTCATTTTGTTAAATGAAAAATTAATCCAATAATACTGGCTTATAGTTTCCAATTTCCAAATCAACAAGTAACCTTTAATGTAGGTTACACCTAGGTAAGAAAATCATTAATCTTATTTAAAAAAAAAGAGGGTACATCCCAAAGAGAGGTCCCTCATTTATTCTTCTGGCTAATTAGGCCAAGAGTGTTATATTTTCTTCATATAGTCCTGTATCTTATTTTTTTCCTTTTAATCCCTCAACTATATAAAACTAATCCAAAATGGTTCCTAGGAACTATAGTAGGAGCAATTTTATATAGTTGAGGGATGTGGGCTCCGAAAATTCGGCCCCGGTCTCCGCTCGCTTTTTCTTTTTATTCGGCGAGGGAGTTTTAACTGATAAATTCCGGGGTAAATTTTGGAAGGCAGATGGGTTTGTAGATAAGACACTACCCAGAGATTTCGCCCTCATTTTGCGAGGACTTTATAATCTGAGTTCTGGTTTCCTATAGGCGCAAGCCGCTTTAGTTAATTACCCCTCCCGATCACGGGAGAGAACTTTCGATTAAGGCTAGTCGTCAATCAGATACGTATAGAATACGTGTTATCTGGCATATATTAGCAGCAATAAGATTAGGATTTGGAGATTTGGAATTTGAATGTTTGGAATCTTAAAAATTTGGAAAGTTGGGATATTTGATATTTAAAAATGGAAATTTCACCATCTTGCATTTAAAGCGGATGGTGGGGAAATGGATGATAGTCCCGATCAAGATCCCATGGTTCCGTCGTCCCGGGCCATCGTGGTCCCTGGTCTACTTAGTCAGAGGAGGTAGTCGACCCAACCTGACAGAAGAATCCTTGTCGGCAGCCATGGGTTGCTTCGTCCAAGGGTACCTTGTAGACCTGGGGTGAATGCTTGCCTAAGGGGACAAATCTGAATCCACTTTAGCTAACAAAGGGCTTTGTGCCCTATCAATCATATAATATTGATTCATATCTCAATGATTTGATGCCAATAATGGACGTATTGACGCTGACCATAACCGGTATTTCATGGTGCCATTTGGCGGCAAAACCACTAGGTTCAGAGGGCCCCGGGTCATAACCGTTTATCCTGCGGTGCCATTTGGCGGTGAACCGCCGGTTTGAGGACACGTACCACGTCCTTATTGATAGGAGATTGGTTGAGAATGGATTCTAGTGATATTTTCGACTAGGCATTTGGCTCTTTGTGAGCTGAAGTTATATTCGAATTTGTCCACCTCGACAAACTTTTTTGCGGAGGGTGGATGGATTTTGCTTTAAGTGTTAAATAATTTATTTCAATTTTAAATATTTTGAATTTTGAGATTTTTTTTTGGATTTTTGGATATTTGACTGGCATTTTGAATTTTGTAGTTGACCCCTCCGGTTAAAATTTTTTATTCAACACGGCCATCATCGGGGTGTGGAGTCATTTCTCTTATGAACTTAACATTGTCAACTCAGCCAACCTATTGACTGAGGATCGAGTTCTCCGTAGGCTTTGTATTTTTGTTGGTGAATTTTCTTTGTTGAAAGCTTTGAAGGCCTGATATTAATGTGTGAAATAAATATTCCGGTCAAATTCGTGACCGCATATTTATCCAATGGTTTGAACCTTGTCTATTCCTATTTATCTGATTAGGAGGATCTTTCATAAGCTTTATGTTTTTATTTAGTGAATTCTCTTGATTATAGGCCTTGAAGGTTTAATATGAATGTATTAAAATAAATACACCGGTCCCCACAACCATATATATTTGTTTGAAGGTTCGAACCCTGTCGACATCTATTGATTTGCATAGTAGGATCGGATTCGAACTTAAATTCACTTATCGACCCGCACAACATCCCTAGACGTCACATGTGTACCAATAACACGCTTGTCGGGGCCCATGCGGGTGTTGATTGTATACCCTTTTTTAGTGTACCTAGTGTGTACAAACTACAGTGTATGTGCGAGGGTATTTTAGAATATTCATGGAACGCCTTCTGTCCGCTTGTATAGAAGTTGCGGATCCGGTGGTGGATTGTAACAGCTTGTGGATTGAATTGTTTGCTGCTTTGTACAGGTAGACTGTTGTGCACTACTTACATGATTTGTGCAAGAAGATTGTAGTACACTAACGAATCTCCTGCTTTTTGTCTTGTAGGAGCTTGCATCCATTGTACATTAATCATCATCACATAAATGGACTACTATATGATTGAAAACTCTTCTATGTTTGTTTGAAGGGTCTTTGACAGCGATCTATAAGAATTTGTATTTGTTGCAGTCTTGCGACATTTCTGCTATCACTACTTGCGAGTAGATCAACATGCTTGTGTGCAAATCGACATTGAATGATTTGCTTGTGGGCGTTAGCTTCAAGCATATGTGATTCTTGATAAATCACCATATTCACTGCATATTCCTTGTATGCGTTATGGCCCTTCATCCTCACTTTTGAGTAACATATGACGTACATTTTGAGCTTTTGTCGTCATTTGCTTGCTAGTTTTCTTCCAGTGTTGGTTGGTATTAGCATCTTGATTAACATGAAGGTTCTCAATATTTTATTGGAAGCCTCATACTTTTGATTGTAGGATTGCTATGAATGCTACACACTAAACATCATCATTTGTAGGTGATCATGCTTGCATAACTGATATGGATGCTACACACAAGTCATCGTCATTTGAAGGTGACTTATGAAGTTTCGAAGGCTCCACATGCTTCCTTGTGACCATATCATTCATTCTCTTAAGCTATGTGATCTATAAGTGAATCATGTTGGCAATTATATACTTCGTGATGCTTTTGTGTGAGTTGAAGATCTTTTGTTGTAGCATTGAATAGGTTGTTGCATTACAAGCTCTTTTATCACCTACAATCATTCTCAAGTCTCTTTGTAATTTGCTTGAAAGTGAATTTTCATGTATATAGTAAGTACATGTTCTCACTTATTCACATTATGTTCATTAGAAGCCATTTGAGTTTGAATTCTTTGCTTGAGTTTCATTCATTCAATGTTCAAATCAAGATCCCAATCATTTGAGTTCCAATCTATCAAGTTCGAGCTCTTGATATTTTTTTTTGTGAACTCTATCTACTTGCTCATTGTTATCCACTTGAATGCATTTCCACATACTCATTGCATACGATTGTAAGTGGATTATTACTCATTTGCATTTGGTTAGGAATTCATGCACATCATACTGATCTTGCTCCCACAAATAAGTTATTGTGCTTTATAAGAAATTTATATTCATGCTCACAATCATGTATGGGTTATTGCCCTTCTTCAACAATCATATTCACTAGTAGCTTTTCTTTTTAAAATTTATCATAAACTTGTTAGTTGATTGATATGAATACCACTAATTTCATTTTGTAGTCCTTTGGCTCATCACAAGCCTTCACAAATTCTTTATCACTTAGAAGTGAGATCATGCTTACAAGAGGGATTGCAACATGTATGATGATTCCACATAAATCCTTTCATTCGATTATGAACAAATTATAGTCATAGAGATTTTAACATAAATCTTTTGTTGTCCTCCGAGTTCAAACCAATGTTGAGTTCAAGTCTTATGTGAGTATTTCTTATAGTCCAACTCAAATATTTCAAATGTTCAAGTCATGCCATTGTTCATCTTGCAAGTTCAAGTATGAGTTCAAACTGAGTGTGGTATAAATGGTAAGTTCACTTGAGTTCAAATCAAGTCTTTTGCATGAGTTCACATTCAACTTTTTGTTTAAGTCCTCAATATTTTTAAATAAAAATTCGGCAGCACAACGGTGTCGTCCCCGCGTAGGGGGCTGCATCGGAGTGTGTAAGGCCTTCCCACCTGCCAAGAAAAGCAGTCACGGTAGGTGTCGGGTGACACCGCGGCCGCAGTTTTAATTCCCGCTCGCTAAGAAAAGCGGTCACGAGTACTTATTTCTTGCATAGAAATGAAAAATACTAGTGTCGGCTTTTTATCTTGGGTGTGCAGCAATCGAGGCGGCGATGACGGATGACGGCGACGGTGGGAGACCTGCGATGCACAATTTAAATTTTTTTTAAAAATATTTGTGCAATTTAATTAATCATTTATGCTTTTCTTTTATTTAAAATAAAGTGTAGAGAAAAAAAAGAAGAGAGCTCTTTTTCTAGAGAGAGAAAGAGAGGGAAATAGAGGATTTGATGGTTTTTTTATGGAAGAGGCTTAGGGTGTGTAGGAGATTGGGAGAGTGAGGTTAGAGAGAGAAAATCTCTCTTCTCTTAATTTTTGGAGAGAGAAAGAGAGAAGGGAAATTTTTTTCTCTCTCTAGGGAAGGAATTTGGAGGCATGGTGGAGAGGGGAGATGCTTGGGGTGAAGATAGAGCCATTCATAAAGAGATTTCACTCTCATTCTAGAGAGAAAATTTTCTCTCTCTAGGTTAGAGAGAGAAAATGAGAGATGATGAATTTTTTTATTGGGTGGGTGTAGGATATGTGTAGGAATATTTTTTGTGAAAGGATGTGGGTGGTTTGGTGAGTGAATGCGAAGAAAAAAAAAGATTAGGTTTAGGGTTTTGTAGGTTTGTTGAGATTGTGGTGGAGGAAGAAGATGAAGATGAAGGAGAGGAAGGAGAAGGGAGAGGAAGATGAATGGAGGAAGAAGAAGAAAAGAGAGAAAGAAGGAGAGATTTTCCTTGCTTGGAGAGCTTGGAGGGAGGCCGGTGGCTCCTTGGCGTGAGGAAGAGCGTGAGATGAGAGGGGGAATCGTGGATTTGGCGGTTTGGAGAGTGAGGAGGGTTATGAGGTTAAGTGGGGATATATTAGGGATTTTTTATTTAAAAAAAATTCTTTTTTTTATTTAAAAGCTCTTTTTCTCTCTCTTTTTTTCTAAAATTTTTTAATTAAATTGCACAATAAAAATATTTTTTTTTTAATCTAGCATCGAGTTTTTTTTGGCCACATCGCCGCTCGCACACGTCGTCTCCTCAATTCGCGCGTCCAAAATTTAAATTTTTGCTGACCGACGACCCCCATCAATATGGGTGTCAATCTTAGCTGTTTCCGTTGCTCCGGACGCATCGGCGCTGTCCGTTTCGCGAACGGAGGTCATCTCGATGATTTTGGGTTTTCGGTCGCACGCGTCAGGTGAGTTTTTGCACGATTTCGCGCTCTTTTGCTTTCGAAATTCACCTTGAACGGTCGACGCGATCCCGACACTAGTATTGAGGTCAACAAGGGACTAAATTAGGATCAGTTTTGTATCATAATTTATACATGAAGGATCATTTTGTATCAATTTTGTAAAGTTATCAGGCTAAATTATAGAAATATGGTACTCTGATATTTAATTGTCCATATGTGAGTAATCATAGGGCTATTCTGAGATTTAATCTAAAAAGGGTTAGGGCTTTTGATTGATTTGATACTTGATTTACATATCATTAGATCAGTTAGTTAAAATATTAAAACATATTTTTCTCATTAAGTTCCCACTAATGCAGTCCCTGGGGAGGAGTTGGCCCTAATAATGAAAGCATTGCTTTCCTAATTTAGACAAAAATTATACTGTAAATTGTATGTTGCATGCTTGTAGATTATTGTTGTCATATGGCAGATTGTGATTCTCATAAGTTATTTTATTCCTTCCGCTTTGCATGTTCTATTATTACTTTGTCAGAACTTTAAACCATTATACCTTCACAGTTTACATAATTAATTTCACCTGTAAAAGAAAGCATCAGCCATGGATTGTTCAGTCTTACCCTGCCAATCTTTCTATCTTTTCATTACCTTTTGTGGGTTTTCCTATATTCCTTTTGATTGTAGCGTAAATTTTTTCTTCATGATTTTCTTTCAGCAGTTACGCTTTCAGATATATCATTTTGAGTCGTGTTTTGGAAATATATTCAAAGCAAACAACTTCTATGTTCTTTCTATCCATTGATTCTGTCAGCTATGCCTCCCTATTTTACAAGCTTCATCATCTTTGGTAAATTGCTATACTTTTGAGTCCCATTCATCTTAAATAGTAGTGAATACTGATTTACACTCCTATCATAATAAGTCCTTGTTGCCTCTAATGTCAAAACCATATATTTAATATTCTATTTTTCATCCTATCCAATCCTTTAGATGCTTTTTTCTGTTGTGAAATAGAAGCTTGATTTTAACTGTCATTTTTACCCGAGTATCCATGAAATTTTATAGCAGAGGATAAAAAATGAACCTTGAAATTACCATGCAAAATCCTTTCAGAATGACAATATAATTGAAGCATGGTTAACGAAGAAAATGCGATCCTTTAGTGTGAGAATTAACTTATGCCCGTGTGCATGAATCCTCACTTCTGCTCCTCTCATGTTTCCCTTATTTCTTTAATTGTCTACCTCTAGTACCTTAATTTTATTATGTGAAACGTGTTTTGGTCTGGCACTTATGAAGATTACTGATTTTCTGTAACACAGGAAAGTTGTGTTATCTACCTTTAGCACCTTAATTTTATTATGTGAAACATATTTTTTGTACTGCGTACAAAGATCATTGTGATTTTCTATGGCACAGGAAAGATGTGTTGCAGCTGAGATGATATCCTTTGTTGCTCAGATCTTGCATAGATCAAAAGCTTACTTTCAGTCAAGGTTGTTTCAGCAGAACGCTGCATTGATTGAGGATTTTTTTGGGAATCTGGTATGCTTGTCTTTAGGTTTGCATTTGTTCTCTTCTTCTCTCTCTCTCTCTCTCTCTCTCTCTCTCTCTCTCTCTCTCTCTTTCTCTCTCTCTTTCTCTCTCTCTCTCTCTCCTTCTTCTTCTTCTCTCTCTCCTCTCTTTCTCAAAGTAACTCTCTCGCTCTCTACAAACATGAGTTAAGAAACAAATGAAGTTCTTTTTTCTTGTAAAAGGAAAAATAATAGGTCTAATTTTATTAATCCATTTTTCCTTATATTCTTCATCCACAATAAAATTCCTAATTACAGGGCCGCGTCCAACACAAAAACTCTTGAAATTTGATGGGAAAAAAGTCTTTTTGGTGGGTTTTTCAATGAAATATGGTCGATAAAAATGTTGCTTTGAACTACTTTTTGACTTTCCATTGGAAAAACTCTGGTATGAACAAGTTAATTGATTAACAAATAGACAGAAAATTTTTATGAAAGTTAATGCCGGTTATTTCTACTATAGAAATTTGGGTAGCAATATGTGTTCATTTCTGGCGGACATTCGCTGTGCTATTTCTATTGACTGGTTATTTAATCATTTTTTTCTTTATGCATCTATTGAGTTCTTAAAACCACTTTAATTGGAAAGTTTATGCGCTCCCAAGTATCAAAAATTTTTTTTGTCATAATCATGGACCGACCCTTCCCGGGGATAGTAATTATTTTGACATCCTATACAAATCCATACAGCATAGATTTAAACTTTCATTGTTACAGTCCAAGCACATTATCATAAACGAATAATACAAACATTATCTCTCTCTCTCTCTCTCTCTCTGCCCTTCTCTCTCTCTCACACTCTCTCTCTCACACTCTCTCTCTATCTCTCTATCTCTCTCTATCTCTCTCTCTCTCTCACTCTCCCTCTCTCTCTCTCTCTCCTCTCTCTCTCTCTATTTATCTCTCTCTGTGAAAGCCCCTTTTTCCTTCCAGGATCGTCCGGAACGAAGTGGGATCGTCCGGGACGATCAGTACAGAATTTGTGGACAGAGAGGTTCGTCCCAGGACGAAATTTTCTCTCTCTCTCTATTTATCTCTCTCTGTGAAAGCCCCTTTTTCCTTCCAGGATCGTCCGGAACGAAGTGGGATCGTCCGGGACGATCAGTACAGAATTTGTGGACAGAGAGGTTCGTCCCAGGACGAAATTTGGTTCGTCGGGACGAAATTTGTCCAGAGGGCAAGCCGTCCAGGGACGAAAACTGTTCACGTCTGAACGAATTTTGTACAGAGGGCAAATCGTCCAGGGATGATTTGGGATCGTCCGGGACGATCTGCATGGATATATATTGGATTAAGATATTTTGGAATATTTTGGAATAGAGAAAAAGCAGGAGAGAGAGAGAGAGAGGAGGAAAAGACTTTATTTATTGAATGTGGATATATTGAATATGCTACTATTACTGAAAGACAAGTAAAGACTAGTTGAACCGTTGGTTGGAGATTGATAGACTTGACAGGATGGTGGGCCGACGGGCTTTCCTTTAAAAAGGGTTTGACGATATCCTCTATTGATCATTGATACAACGATTGGGAGTCATAAGTAGATTATTCTGCCGACAGGAAAGAGTGACGACTCTTATTGAGCCAACGGATACAACGATACATCGATATTCCAAGATTGAAAATCGTCGTAATAACTATGTCTTTTACTTGTTGAATAAAGGATGGTTGAACCGTTGGTTGAAGATTGACCTGTCAGGATGGTGGGCCGACAGGCTTTCCTTTAAAAAGGGTTTGGTGTTATCCTCTATTCATCACGTGATACAATGATTGGGAGTCATAAAGAGTTTATGCCAACGGACAAGGGTGACGACTCTATTATAGCCAACGGATTACTAACATACTAACTTTGAAAAATGCCTTAATAGCTAGTGATTGTACTTGTCGAGTAAGACTACTGAACTGGAATGCATGTGTAAAGTACTGTTCTTATGATCTCATTACGGATTTACTGATTTATCGATATTGACTGATTAATTGATATAGAATTAATTTATGGATTTTGAATGGATTTACTGATATTGAATTGTTTTATTGATATTGAATGGCTTTATTGTACGGATTTATGAGTTTCCTGTTATTGCAGGATTTCATTGATATTTCATACAGTACATGTTATCGAATATAGATATTGATATGGATATTAATATTGCATCGATTCATTGATTCATTGATCTTATGGATACCGATATTATTGATTCATCGATACTATAGATTTATTGATACCATTGATTCATTGATACTACCGATACCGATATCGATACTATTGATCCACTGATACATTGATTCATTGTACCGATCATATAGCACGTGATACATCGAATACTAACCGATACATGTGATACATGTGATACACTGACCACGTGATATAGAATATGAATTTTACTGTATTGATTGATTTTAATGGTTATTATTCATTTGTTTCAACTATCCTTATGATGTATTGAATTGATCGTTTTATATGATTTCATACCGACTGATATTATTGACCGAAATTGATTTCTTTATTTAATGATCTGATTGATTTTATTGCTGTGAGTGTTGTGATATTGATTTGACGGATATTTTAGATACAATGTTTTCTTTACTAAATTGTGATTTATCTTTACTGTATGAATTTATTGTTACTACACGATTTCATTGTTATAGCATAATCGTTCATGTTGTCATAGGATTGTTATTGATATTGATACATACGCTGTTACTACTGATTCACTGTACTGACATTATGTATGTGATATAGATTACTGGATTGCATATGATTTATTGAGCAAGTGATATTGAATAACTGGAATTGTAAGTGTATGTTTTGATACAATTCTACTACATTGTTTTGACTGATGTTATAGATAAGATGACTACTGTAAAGATTTGACTCACGTACTGGTTCATTGAGCTTTATGAGATTTTCTACTATTCACTGATTCTATCACTGATGATTTTTAATTCTATTGTTTATGCATTGATTTCTATTTTTGTATTGATTTCCATATCTATATCGATTTAATGATCATGTGCAAGTGACTGATACTGATTTGATTGATTTACATGCATATTACTTTCGTACTGTGTTTTGATTTCAGTTGTAGGTTTTTTGTGACCTGCTGGACTGTTTGAAGCTCATTATATGTGGTTAATGATTTCAGGTGCAGAGCCTCCCGCGTGAAGCTTCTTTCAGACGCTTGTATAGTTTTTCATAGTTTTTGGTTCATGCAATATTTTGTAGCCCAAGTGGCTATTGTACATGTTCTTTTGGACGCTCCTTTTGTATTGTAAATATGAAATGTCTTAATGTGAATTATAGTATTTTGATGTATCTATTTTCTTTAATGCAATTATCATTCTGGATGTTTGTATGATATGAGCGAGAAATGTAGAAAGAAAAAAAGATCGAATAAGAAGAAGAATGTCAGATGAATCCTTTCATTATAGATGTCTGGGACGTCACAATTGGTATCAGAATGAGTGTAGTGAAAGGATTTGCTTATATCCAGAATTATAGTGATGATTACATTATTTGATTTGTTTTGCTTTACGTGTTTGATTTTTGTTATTATACCTACGAATTTTATTTGAATGAATTTGTATTGATCAGGCCAATGGATCAGAAAGGAAAGAAAGTTGAATCAGCTACTGACTTTTCCATGACATCTGGAAATATGAAAAAGTTTGCTGACATGGTCGCTTAAATGGTGAGCGATAAATTAGCAAAATATTCTGGACGTAGTGTTAAGAAAAGTGGTGAAAAGAAAAGTGGTGAAAGTAGCAGAACAAAGACTATTAATGTTTGTGTATGTTGTGGGAAGAGACATGTGGGACAGTGTTAACGGAGAACAGGACTGCTTTCAATATGGTGCCTATGGACATAAAATGGTATAATGTCCAGGACTTAGACAAGGACCTGTTTAGATTGAAAACATACAGTTGAAAAATGTGAAAGATGTTCCTCCAATGCTTGAAAATATGACTAGTATGAGTTTATTTTCTATAACTTATTGTATTCGACGATATTTTTCATTGATTTCGATATGATTTGTACGATTTTTTTGATTTGATTCGTGTTTTGTTTGAACTAATTTGTTTGTCGATTTTGCATTTGAGCTCTTAATGAAAATGTCGAGGACGACATTGTTCAGAAGGTGGGAGGTTGTTAAAGCCCATTTTTCCTTCCAGGATCGTCCGGTACGAAGTGGGATTGTCCGGGACGATCAGTACAGAATCTGTGGATAGAGAGGTTCGTCCAAGGACAAAATTTGGTTTGTCGGGATAAAATTTATCCAGAGGGCAAGCCGTCCAGAGACGAAAACTGTTCACATCTAAACGAATTTTGTATATAGGGCAAATCGTCCCGGGATGATTTGGGATCGTCCGAGACGATCTGCATGGATATATATTGGATTGAGATATTTTGGAATCTTTTGGAAGAGAGAAAAAGTAGGAGAGAGAAAGAGGAGGAAAAGAGAAGGAAAAAGGCTTGATTTTGAAGGCCACGGAGCGCTTTTTGTCCGTGCCGCAGTTAGAAGAATTTTTTATCTAGCAGTAAGGACTTCGAATCCTATTTCTGATTTCGAAGATTTCGAGTTTTGGTGTTTTTATGCTTAGTTTTGTGTTTTCATTACAAAAAAAATGAGCCTATCTTTGTATTGACGAAATTTTTACTACGTAACTTTTGGTATGTTAGAGAAATGATGATTTTGCACGATTTGAGTATTTTCTGAAAAGTTTTTACTGGATATTTTGAGTTATGTTAGATTTTGAAACGTTATTTTACACGATTTCTTATAATTGTGCATTTTGACTTTGTTTGGAATTTCTGTCGACTGTACAATATTTTAAGGATTCTTTTCTTTTGAGTTAAATCATGTTTATTGATTGCAATACATTAATGAGATGTATATGAATGTGGATATATTGAATATACTACTATTACTGAAAGACAAGTAAAGATTGGTTGAACTGTTGGTTGAAAATTGATAGACCTGACAGGATGGTGGGCTGACGGGCTTTCCTTTAAAAAGGGTTTGACGATATCCTCTATTGATCATTGATACGAATATTGTGAATCATAAGGAGATTATTCTGTCGACAGACAAAAGTGACGACTCTTATTGAGCCAACAGATACAACGATACTTCGATATTTCAAGATTGAAAAATGTCGTAATAGCCATATATTTTACTTGTTGAATAAAGGCTGTTTGAACTGTTGGTTGAAGATTGACCTGTCAGGATGGTGGGCCGACAGGCTTTTCTTTAAAAAGGGTTTGGTGTTATCCTTTATTCATCACGTGATATAATGAAGTCATAAGAAGTTTATGCCGACGGGCAAGAGTGACGACTCTATTATAGTCAACGGATTACTAACATACTAACCTTGAAAATCGTCTTACTAGCCAGTGATTGTACTTGTCGAGTAAGATTACTGTACTGGAATGCATGTGTAAAGTACTGTCCTTATGATCTCATTACGGATTTATTGATTTATCAATATTGACTGATTAATTGATATGGAATTGATTTATGGATTTTGAATGGATTTAATGATATTGAATTGTTTTATTGATACTGAATGGCTTTACTGTACGGATTTATGAGTTTCCTGTTATTGCACGACTTCATTGATATTTCATACAGTACATGTTACCGAATATAGATACTGAAATGGATATTGATATTGCATCGATTCATTGATTCATTGATCTTATGGATATCGATATTATTGATTCATTGATACTATAGACATTGATACCATTGATTCATTGATATACCGATACCGATACCGATACTGATACTGATACTATTGATCCACTGATATATTGATTCATTGTATTGTTCTTATAGCACATGATACATCGAATACTGACCGATACGTGTGATACATGTGATACACTGACCACGTGATATAGAATATGATTTTTATTGTATTGATTGATTTTAATGATTATTATTGATTTATTGATTTGATTTCAACCGTCCTTACAATGTATTGAATTGATCGTTTTATATGATTTCATATCGACTGATATTATTGACAGAAATTGATTTCTTTATTTAATGACCTGATTATTTTATTGCTGTGAGTAATGCGATATTAATTTGACGGATATTTTTGATACAATATTTTCTTTACTAAATTGTGATTTATCTTTACTGTATGGATTTACTTTTACTACATGATTTCACTATTATTGCATAATCGTTCATGTCGTTACAGGATTGTTGCTGATATTGATACATACGCTGCTACTACTGATTCACTGTACTGACATTATATACGTGATATAGATTACTGGATTGCATATGATTTATTGAGCAAGTGATATTGAATAACTGGAATTGCAAGTATATGTTTTGATACAATTCTACTACATTGCTTTGACTGATGTTATAGATAAGACGACTAATATAGAGATTTGACTCACGTACTGGTTCATTGAGCTTTATGCGATTTTCTACTGTTCACTGATAGATCATTGAGCTTTATGCGATTTTCTACTGTTCACTAATTCTATCATTGATGATTTTGGATTCTATTGTTTATGCATTGATTTTTGTTTTTGTACTGATTTCCGTATTTGCATCGATTTAATGATCATGTGTAAGGGACTGATATTGATTTGATTGATTTATGCATAATGCTTCTATACCATGCTTTGATTTCAGTTGTAGGTTTTTGGTGACCTGCTGAGCTTTTTGAAGCTCATTATATATGGTTAATGATTTCAAGTGCAGAGCCCCCCGCGTGAAGCTTCTTTCAGACGCTTGTATAGTTTTTCGTAGTTTTTGGTTCATGCAATATTTTGTAGCCTGAGTGGCTATTGTACATGTTCTTTTGGACGCTCATTTTGTATTGTAAATATGAAATGCCTTAATGTGAATTATAGTATTTTGATGTATCTGTTTTCTTTAATGCAATTATCATTCTGGATGTTTGTATGATCTGAGCGAGAAATGTAGAAAGATAAAAAAAGATCGAATAAGAAGAAGAATGTCTAACGAATCCTTTCATTATAGATGTATGGGACGTCACACTCTCTCTCTCTCTCTCTCCCCCCTTCTTCTTATTATTCTTCTTCTACTCTCTCTCACTCTCTCTCTCTCTCTTGCTCTCTCATCTCTCTTTGTCTCTATCTCTCTCTCTCCTTCTCTCTCCTTCTCTCTCCCTCTCTCTCTCTCTCTCCTTCTTTCTCTCACTCTCTCTCTCTCGCTCTCTCTCCTTCTTCTTCTCTCTCTCTCTCTCTCTCTCTCTATCTCTCCTTATTCTTTATTGTCTTGTTCTTTTTCTCTCTCCTCTTCAACGTATCTCTCCCTTCTTCTTTAATCCTCTCTCCTCCCTCTCTCTCTCTCTCTTCCTTATCTTTATTGTCTTCTTCTCTTGCTTTTTTTCTCTCTCTATCTCTCTCTCTCTTCGTTCTCTCGCCCCCTTTCTTATTCTGTCTCGTCTCCTCTCTCTTCTCTCTCTCCTCTCTCTTCTTCTCTCTCTCATCCTTCTCTTCTTTTTCTCTCTCTCTTTCTTTTCTCATCTATCATTTATGTTCACCTATGTTCTCTATTTATCTCTCCTTCTCCTCTCGTTCTCTCTCCATCACTCATATTTACCATCTCTATTTATTTATCTCACTTTCCTTCTCGTCTTCTCGTCTTCTCTTCTTTCTCTATCTCTCTCTCTTCTTGTTCTAACTACTCTCTCTCTCTCCTTCTCTATTCACTCATCTCTCCCCCTTTTCTCTCTTCACAGCACACTCTCTCTCTTTCCTCTCTTCTCTCCTTTTTCCTTTTTTTTCTTGTTCTCCTTTCTTCTTATTCTTCTCTTCCTCTCCTCCTTTCTCTCATCTCTCGACCCTCAGCTCTCCTCTCTTCTCAATCTCTCTCTTCTCTCCTCCCCCTTGCTCCCTTCTCTCACTCTCTTTAACCGTCTCTACTATTTATCCTCACTTTCCTTCTCTCTCTCTCTCTTCTCTCTCCTTCTTCTTCTTCTCTCTCCTTCTTCTCCCTCTTGTACTCTACTACTCTCCCTCCTCTTCTACTTCCACCTCCCCCTTTTCTCTCTTACACAATCTCTCTCTCTCTCATCTCTCTCTTCTCTCCTTATTCTTCTTTTCTTCTTGTTCTTTCTTCTTCTTCTCTCTGCTCGTCCCGCTCGTCTCCTCTCTCTCCTCTTCTCTCTCTCTCTCTCTTCGCTCTTCTTTCTTCTTTTATTATATATTATTCTTCTTCTCTCCTCTCTCCCCCTCTCTCTCCTCTCTCCCCCTTTCCTTCTCCTCTTCTCCTCTCTCTCACATCTCATTCTCTCTCTCTCCCCTCTACACACACTACCTCTTCTATCTCTCTCTCTTTGCTGTCATTACCTATTCATTATTTGGCTTCTCTCTCCTCTCTCGTCTCCTCGTTCCCTCTCTCTCTCTCTCTCGACCTCTCATCTCCTCTCATATCAAATCTTCTCTACTTCTTCTCTCCCTCTCTCTCCTATCTCTCCCTCAAACTCTCCTTTCTTCTCTTTTTCTCTCTTGCTCTAATCTACACTCTCTTGTGCTCTTTCTCCTCTCTCTACTCTCTCATCTTTGTTCTCTCTCCTCTCTTCTTCTTAAATTCTCTTCTCTTCCTCTTTTATCTTCATTCTATCCTCTCTCGTCCCTCTCTCTCTCTCTCATCCTCTCTCTCTCCCACTTCTTTTCTCTATATCCAAGCTATCTATCTTCCTCTCCTCTCACCCTCTCACTCTTTATCTCTCTATCTACTCCTTCGCGCTATCCCTTCTTCTTCCTCTTCTCCTTTCTTCTCTCGCTCCCCTTCTATTATTATATATTCTCTTCATTCTTCTGCTTCCCCTTCTGATCTCTTCTCTCTTGCGCTATTAATTCTCTCTGCACGTCTTCTCCTCCTCTCTCTTCCCTCCATCTCTATCTCTCTTCTCTTCGTGCTTAATTCTGATGTCTTGTTCTTCTCTACTTGCTTTCCCTCCTCTCCTCCATCTCTCTCTCTCCCCTTCTATTTCTCCTAATCTCTACCTCTATTTACTCCCTCTCCCTCTCTCCTCTCTCTCGTCCTCTCCTCTCTCTCGTCTCCATATATATATATATATATATATAATATATATTATATATATGTGTGTGGTGTGTAGTGGCTAACTATCTTCCTCTTATTCTTCCCCTCTCCCTTCTCATTATTCTCTTCTTGCTTCTCTGTTTCTCGATCTCTCTCATCTCTCCTCTCTCCCTATCGCTCTTCTCGTCTCTGGTCTCTTCTTCTTGTCTCTCTCCGCTGCTCCTCTTCTCTCTTTCCTCTATTCTCTCCTATCTCTCATCCACTCATCTCTTCTCTTTCCTCTCTCTCCTCCTCTCCCTCGCTCCTCCTCTCCTTCTCCTCATCTCTCTCTCCCCTTCCCCTCTAAAAATTCTGCCCCCCTTATCTCCTATCTATCTCCTTCTTTCTCTCTACTCTCCTTCCTTCTCTCTCCTCCTCCTTTCCCTCTCTCTCTCTCTCCCTTCTCTCTCCTTCTCTCTCTCTCTAATTCTCCATCTGTCTATCTATCTCTCCGCCTATCCCCACTCCACTTTTCTTCGCTCTCACTCTCTCCGTCCCACCCACTCTCGCTCTCTTCCTCTGTCTCCGTCTCCTCCTCTCTCTCTACTCTCTCTCTCCTTCTCCTATCTCTTCTTCTCTTCCTCCCTCCCTCTCCTCTCTCTCTCCCTCCCTTCTTCTGTTCTTCTTATTTTTCTTCTCTCTTCTTCTCTCTCCTCTCTCTTCACAACAACTCCTCGAACATTCCTTTTTTTCTTACTTTTATTTCTTACTTCTTCTTCTCCTCTCTCTCTTCTCTCTCTCTCTCAATGCTCTCTCTCTCGTCAAAAAAAAAAATCAAATCTCGCCCTCTCAAAGTCCTACTCGTCTTCTAAAAAAACCTCTCCTTCTCAACCTCTCGACTTTCTCCAACCAAAAACTCTCAAAAACATCCACCTTTTCTCACTCCCAATCTCACTTCCTCCTTCTCTCTCTCGTCCCTCTCCTTTGCGTCTATTCTTTCTTTATCTTCTTACACTCTTGTCTCTTCTTCTTTTTTCTCTCTCTCCCAGCTCCTCTTCTCCCTCTCTCTCTCTCCTCTCCTCTTCTCTCCTCTCTCTCTCTCTCTCTCGTCTCATCTCTTCCACTGTCTTCATGGTCATCGGGCGTGAGCTTTGTGCTGATGTCATGTTTGCCCGGTCGGGTTTGGTCTCACAGGGATGGGACCCTGCGATTCACGGTCACGGCTGCGGGTCGTGCAACTGCAAAGATGTGTTTTGTGCCTGGATCACCGGTTGGGCTGTCGTCCACGCCCAGTGTTTCTCCCTTCGGGCTTCCAGCGGCGTTTGGAAGAATTATCCATGGCCCCGGTGACCGTTGGTGGTTGTCTGTACCCGCGGCTGCAATTTTTTTAAGCTAGAAGTAATTTAGGGAACGCTAAGAACATGGATGGCGGTCGATCACATTAATCTTGGCCACCAGCATTCTGGAGTCATCTCGCCGACTTCTTTTTTTCAAATATCGCCTGGGGCCGTTCGACCCTTCATCCGTACGATTGTTTTGTCGCCGTCTGTGGTGTCCCCCCCCCCACCCCTTCAGGGTGGCTGAAAATTAATGGTGGAGGGGGCTTGGCGCAGTCATGCTGGTCGCAATTATTATTCGGGATCACCAGGGCTTTCTGGTGGTGGCGGCCGGATGGTGTATCACACATTGGGATAGTACTGGGGTGGAGTTGTTGGCCATTCAATATATTGGGAAGCTCCTCCAAGAGTGGATGTTTGAGGTTAATGGGGTCATTATTGAGGGGGATAACGCTAGCGTCATCCAGTTCATGCAGAAGGTTAAGGAACGGGAGGTTTGGAAGCTTCGGTCCGAGGATGCTCATGAGTTTGACTGGCTGACGTCCTTTCATAGAGTTCTTTTTGTTCATACTTATAGGGAGTTCAATCAGGCCGCTCATTTTTGTGCTCAAGTAGCGGTTGAGGACTCATTTGTTTGGGATATAGGGGATCTGGCTAACATATGTATTCCTCAAGCTTTTTTGTCCATCCTTGAGGATGATAGTAGTTTTTTGGCCCCGTCCTAGGGGACGGGGGCTTCTTTTTTGTTGCAAATGCAAAATTCAACTCTCTTTCCTCCTTCCTCTTATTCTTCCCTATCTCTCTCTCGCTCTCTCTAGCTCTCTCCTCCCTCTATCTCTCTCTCTATCTATCTTTCTATCTATCTCTCTCTCACTCTCTCTCTTCTTCTTCTACTCTATCTCTCTCTCTCTCTCTATCCATCTATCCCTCTCGGTCTATCTCACTCTCTTTGGCTCTCACTCTCTCTCTCTTTCTATCTCTATCTCTCTCCTTCTCCTTCTCCTTCTTAT